CACACAGGGTAGTTGCCTCTCAAGGCCTGTCTCTCAATGCTGCAAAGCCACAGTGTCCTGCTTTTCTTACTCTCTGCAGAAACTGAATCACAAAGGCTAGCCTGGGTGACAGCAGGCAGAGAAAGGGGATGGAGACCAGGCGGGAGATTAAAGGAGAGTGCCCATCCTTCACACCCAGGCAGTGACCACATCCATTCCCGCACATATCCTGTGCCCTCACCTTCGACACGTGCACCCTCTCCACCCTCTCATCTGCCACATGTACTCCTTCTAAGAGCAAAATAAAGAATTCTTATTTGAAGAATCTGCTTTAATCGAGAAAGTCAGCTCAGCTCCCCAAGTGAGGCTCACCAACTCATAAGAACTTTGTATTTGTCATCAGCTTTTTAGGGTTTCATACTTACGTGTGGAAAGATAACCGGATATCATAAGACATTTGACAAATGCTTCAAACACAAAAGAGAGAAATCAAAACGAATGAAAAAAGGGAAGCTGTAGAGGGCAGAAGGAGAACACATCACAAAATTAACATTCTTAGATAAAAAAAAAAAATATTGTGTCCATGAAAGAAAAACTGAATGTTATAAAACAGGAATAGGATAGAAGAAAGATCTCCAGAGAATTTTTAAAAATTGAACGAAAAGGACAAAGGAATACAAAAAGAAGAAAAAGCAAACAGAGATTCACCTGAGAAGATTCAGAAAGGACAGAAAAAAAATGAAGGAAAACATTAGAGAAATAAAGAAATTCCCAGAATTGACGGACACAAATCTCCAGTAGAAGGACCTCACCAAATGCCCAATACACTGATTGAAAGAGGATCAATACAAAGACATACCGTCATGAAATTTCCAAACACCAGGGAGAAAGCTTTCAAACTGGACAAATACATAATTAAATAAAGCAGAAAGACAAAGGAATTAAAATCAGAATGATAACACTGGTCTCCGTAGCCTACTAGGAGATAGGAGACAGTAAAGACAGCCTCCAAAACTTAGAAGAAAAAGGATCATCCAGTCCAACTACCAATAAGATGGAAATGTAGCATAAGATTTTTAACCACAAAAGAGTTAAAATATTTTTTCTATCATGCATGTTTACCTGGGAGAGGAATAAAATCAGAAATAAATCATAAATAGGAAAGGTATAGTACTCACAAAACCAGAGATAAAGCTGAGACCTGTAAAATGAAGTGGCAATGGCACACCCAGAAAGGAAGGAAGCTGTATTCATTCAGGTCCAGAGCATGACCAGTTCACTTTAGAGAAAGAGTGGGCATGGCTATGGAAGGGCATTCTAGGGGCTGGTGTGAGTGAAGAAGGTGCTCGTTTGTTAATTGCTGTGTTTATTTGTAAGAAAATTTCTGGATAGGTTATCTGTCCTATCTACTATCTGGATACATTTGCAATAAAGAAGAATACTATGGAAAATGGGTAAAAAAAAAACGAAGTAATTTTTAAAGTTAAAAAAAACAAGTTGCTAAAAAATGGAAAGACAATCATAGTATTTGATTTACTAAGCAAGGAATATTTAAAAAGTCACACACACTAAATATTCACTTAGCCAAAATGTGTTAAAAACAGACCTGATAATCAGCTGGCTTGCACTGGACAGGCTTTACCACTTCTTGACGTATTGAAATATATCTGTACCAGTTGGTAAATAGCTGCTGTCCTGGGACGGTGATCGCCCATGAGAAGCACTTTGACCTCTTTCCCAGACCCTCAAGGTCAACACAATTCAGCCACTACAGGGTGACCGTCAGCACAAGGGCCTAAAGACTCCACTCCAGCTCTGGGATCTGCTTCCGGCTGACTCTCTGACTGGCTGCTCTTGAAGCCACAACAGTTTTTAAATATTTTAAGTAATGCCCCTGGACTTGGAGAGACCAAGTGAAGGTAGGGAGGTAGAAGAGAGCTCAAGCCCCAGTTACTGTAACAGGAACTCAGCAAATATATCTAAAACTTAGGACTTGCAAATACAAAACTGGAGGAATACAAAAGAATAGGATTCCTTTTCTTGAAGTATAATCCAGTTGGAAATGACATTTATATCCACATACGGTATGAAAGGCAAGAAAGGCAATTAATGGGAAATGATACTATTGGGTTGTGAATTCCAATACTTGAGGGTAATATGGTGTTTATTCAGACGACATTTTTATGGCATCTGATAATAAGTATCATGTTTTGGCTGCGTAATATCTCAAATTCACTTGTATCACAGCAGATATTACTGTTATATTTACCTACAACAGACACAAGTAAATGAATCCATTTCTTTCCACATACAAGTTAGATTATGAATATATTTTAAACTTTTCAATCAATATATTGCACTGAAATAAACAGCTTGAATATTTCTTACCAGCTGTTCTTAGGAACGTATTTTATTTTAATGCACTTAACAGCCTCAGGTACACAGGTGTTATAAAAGGCTTTAAATATATAACTGATTTGAACCAGAGAAGGGTTCTTAAGAAACAAAGCATACACAACTTAGTAAAAAATCAGTAAGTAGTATCAGACTCATTTTAAAAGAGGGCAAATCAATCAGAAAAAAATTTTTACTCTCACATAAGAAGTGGTTCTTAGTATCACCATTATGCATCTATCAGTCATGCTTAATAGATATGATTCTTGCACAAGTGTCAGTCCCTAAGGAAGGTAAGGTGTGAATAGAAATTGTGCTCTACCAGTGAGCAGCAAGCAGAGAAGAGCCCACTTCTATTAAAAAAGAAGAAAGAGAAAGAAAAGCACAGCATGTAAGGTCTAAGTATGGAATTACTTCCAGGTAATTACTTCAGCTGATATTAAAACCCAAATGGTGCAACCTTTTGCTTTCAACCTGTGCAAATAGGATCCTTAATATATAAAAACTCACTGCTTTTCTATTCCATGAGTTTATATAATCACTACAGGAAATTTGTGTTCCTTCTCCCCATAAGAGTACCTGAAGAGTACTTATAAAAAATAATTTTCTTTCTAAATTTCCTTAGTCCGTGATCATTTTTTTTTTAAAGATTTTATTTATTTATTTGAGAGAGAGAGACTGAGAGAGAGAGAGCATGAGAGGGGGGAGGGTCGGGAGGGTCAGAGGGAGAAGCAGACTCCCTGCTGAGCAGGGAGCCCGATGCGGGACTCGATCCCTGGACTCCAGGATCATGACCTGAGCCGAAGGCAGTCGCCTAACCAACTGAGCCACCCAGGCGCCCAGTCCGTGATCATTTTATTATAAGAGATGCCTCCATGCAACTTTGGCCCCAAAAGAAAGTTCATCTTGGTTGCTTTTTAGTTTTGTTTTTCATTATATGAAAATATCATAATGAAAAATAGCAATGAAACTCGTTCTCAGTTTAGAAATTATCATTTGGAAAACCATTCTTACAGAACTAAAAACAATCCCTAATTCCTACCACACTGGCTTTTCAATTGCACTGGGACCCCCAGACCTCTGGCTTCCTGGCTTTGCGGCTTTGCTTCCATTTCCAAGCAGCCTACACATGCCCCAGAGGTCTCCTCACAGGCTCTGGGCCTCTTATGCCAATACCACATCCAGCTCCTAACGTTTCAGCCTCACAGCACTTTATCTAGCTACCTTCCTTCATTCATATGCCTGGTATTTTGGACTTTCTTTAAAAAGAAAGAGACTGATGCTCCTGTAAATTTATGGTAGGCAACTCCAGCAGGAATTCGGCATCATAGCCATTTTTATACATGGCTTCCCCATGCCGCCTTTCCTAGCCCCCAGAGCAACAATTTCTAAAACCTCACTGCTCTCGTGAAGTTCCATCCTACAACATAACCCTCGTTCTCAGATGGCCCTGCCTCCTCAGTCACGTCATTCAGGAGATGTTTACTGACGACACACTATGGTCCAGTCGCTGGGCACTGGGCCTGCAAGACCCAGCAGGAGACATGATCCCTGCTCCCAGGGAAGATTCAGTCCAGGGAGAAGGCAGGTAATGAACAGCCCACTATAACCAGCATTATGCAGGAGTGTGCAGTATTAGCATGTGGTGCTAGCATGAGCAACTTAATCTCAGGTGGAGGGTTAGAAAAGGCTTCCCAGAAGTTCCTCCCAAAGTGTTACTTTTCCCCCAAAGTAACATTAAAGCCAAGAGCCACAGAGAAGCACACACAGGCTAGAAGAGAAGGGAGGCAGGCTGCACGAACCAATGGTGGGAACAAGCACATGAAGGCCCTCTGGTGAGAAGTAGGAACCCATTCGGGAACCTGAACTAGTCTGCCTGCGCAAGAACAGAAGAGCGAGGAAAGAGTCATGAGAGGTGAGACTAAGGAGTTAAACAGGGGCTGAGTCAGGTGGGACGTTACAAAGCCAATGACTCTGACCTTCAATGGTTAGCATGGAGACAGGACCAGATCTGCGGTCTAAAAACTCTTATAAAATGCAAGAACCCATCTAAAACACTTGAAATCTGTATGGGCATGAGAAATTCAGCCCCAGTGATGCTCCATCTCCCCAAGTTTGGTTCTTGTCCTACCATTTATCTAAAAAGCCAGCTTTCCATTTCTTCCTAAGAAAGTACAAATTACATTCTTTAAAATTCTACATTCAGGGCACCTGGGTGGCTCTGTAGGTTAAGCGTCTGCCTTTGGCTCAGGTCATGATCTTGGGGTCCTGGGATTGAGCCCCACATCGGGCTCCCTGCTCAGTGTGGAGCCTGCTTCTCCCTCTCCCTCTGACCCTCCTCCCCACTTGTGCTCTGTCTCAAATTAAAAAAAAGAAAAAAAATTTCTACATTCAAGTTTCCTATCCTGTAAATCCTGACAATTCTCGTCTCTCATATTTTTCAAAAGGTTAACAATGGCAATTTGAGTACTCGTATACAACTTGCATCATTCAGAGGTGTTAAACTTCCCTTCTTTCTGAGGGTCTAAAACCCAAATCATGAGTTAACTATATTGAGATCATTTATTCATGAGATTATAGTGAAAGTTTCTTGGATCATATTTTTGAAAATTTGCATTTCAACTTACCTTTCTGTCATTGTCATATTTAGAATGAATTCCCAAAATATCCCAAATATTAGCATCTGGAAATAGATTTAGGAGAACACTCTTCACATTGTCTACAGTGAGCATATTGTCATTCTTCACTTTTTGGTACATCTGTAGAAATAAAGATCTTATAATTAATTTTCATCTTATGGCAATTAGTTTTCTTTCTTTCCCTGAGCATGCAGATTTATATAAAATATACTTTATACTTTGTAAGTTCTAAGTATACCACATATGTACATATATACACACATCCCCCACCCACACAGATAAATCATTTTAACCACACAATATATCATCTCCCAATAGAAATAGTTTTGTGAATATTCTATAGCTTTCAAAATACCAGAACAAATTTATGTTATGGTCCATTTTGATCAAACTAGACACTGTGATTCCCGGCAAAATAATAGCTCCCTTTCGTTTTCTTTTTTTTAAGATTTTATTTATTCACTTGAGAGAGAAAGAGAGAGCACGAGCAGGGGAGAGTGGCAGAGGGAGAGGGAAAAGCAGGTTACCTGCTGAGCAGAGTCTCCAATGTGGGGCTCGATCCCAGTATCCTGGGATCATGACCTGAGCTGAAGGCAGA